TCTGAATTGACTGACTATTGCCCATGGTACCTATAGCTTTTGGGTGTAGAAGTCGTCATCATCTAGAGAAGGAACAGGGAACTGGCTATTCTACAGATGTTACTAAATTACAATCCCAATCACTCAATCTGCCCGTGCTAGCTGGCATTCCTCGGAGTTGTGGTTCAGCAACATCTGGAGGAGCACACATTGTTCTCCCCCCCCCCACCTTTTGCCCTCTAATCCAAAAGTCCCAAGTTCTGCACTGTTGCAGTTATTTTATTCTTCCCAACCGTTGTAATGTGCAAACAGTTGCAGGCTGGCCGTAATGAAAGAACAATTGACAGAGATATTTTCTGGCTTTAACAGCTTATTAATATTTTAGAAGTAGAAATAGAAGCATGGTTTGTTTTGCTAGATAAATGTAATCTAAAGTGGTGAAGAAAAATACTGTATGCCTCCTACTACAGACTGATGAAATACAGAGAAACTCAAGGTGTTTTATAAAATAAAATAAACCGGGGAGATTTTGTGATGGCTCCCTTACTGTGGTTAATATTCTCTCTTGTTTTGCGTGCTTTTTATAGTTATTTTTAAATTGTGACTGCTTTTATGTATTTATTGTTTTTAATTAAGTGTTGTACGCCGCCTAGAATCACTTTTATGTGAGATGGGTGACTGTATAAAGGTGATTGATTGATTGACTGATTGATAGATAAAATAAAGCACACTTTTAACTGGCAAAAAGTTATTGAATGCAGAGTATCTAAGCACAGGAAGAGAAAAACATTCTTGGGAATCCTTTTGATACTCTTCTGGAAATGAGAAGAATAGCATTGTCACTAGACATGACCGGGCAAGATTCTAGTTGAATCTGTGCACCAGGGATGCAAGCAGGAAGATAGAGAAATACATTTGATACTATCCAAGATGCAGAAGGATCATTGTACAAACTGAAACAGGTTTGTCAGGTATGGTATGGTCATGGGGGATTTGTCATCTGAAAGACATTTGGAAGTGAAAGTCTGAGCCCAGGAAGAAAACTGTAACTAATACCATCATCAGGGAGAGAGGAAGTTTGGTGTTGCAGATCATTTAGCAGCTAATTTGGATAAACTGGCCAAATCTTGCTCAGACCCAGAGAAGAAAAGGTGCTTGGAAATGCAGGTGATGAGATACAGAGCCCACTTGAGGCAGAAGGTTTGGAGGACCAGAGATTCCCCCACAATCTTGTCACTTATAAACCCCTTTGCTGGTAAGGGAGATCCCTCAGACTCAGCGTTTTAATGTTCAGTCTACAGTTCAACTCAAGCATTCAGACAACCAACATCTTGGCTCTGCTCTCCAGCCTTCTCATGAACTCTGGTATCTTGACTCTGAAACTTTCCTTGCTTGTCCTTTCAGATTCTTCCCAGACGCTGCAGTTAAAAACCCTAGGCTTGAAGAGCTGATCTGACTACTTTCTCAGTTTTTTGACCTCTGGCTTTGGAATTGGCTTTGCTTTTCAGTTGCTGATGAGACTCTGGGCTGTTTACAGACCACACAATTAACTTCTCATGAATGTTAATGGCTGGTTTGGGCCATTACCAGGACATGTATTGAACTGTTCAGCAAGTGTGAGTGAAGCCCTTATTAAACCATGGATTCAGCCAATAGCTTCAGGGGCTAACAGGGCAGGAAGAATAACCTCAAAATCAGAGCTGCAAGTGAAAAAGCTTCTCCAATCTGCTGCCAAATCATTTGGATGTAATGGAAGGGGAAGCAATGCAATATATGAAAATACATTGAGCGTGTTGCATGAACCAGGCCATTAAAAAGAACCATAATGTGTGGTTAGTTTGTTTCTCTACAGCGTATCGTGCAAAGCTGGTCGTGTCATTTGCTAACCATGGCTTATGGGCTGCATGAACTCAAGCATACAAAATCAAATGGAATATAAACAAAGCTGTTTCACCTTGCTGATTCAGGTTACCTTAAAATCATTATCAGGGAAGGGGAGGGGAGGGGAGGGGAGGGAAGGGAAGGGAAGGGAAGGGAAGGGAAGGGAAAGGCAAGGCCATGGATTATCAAATAAACAGAACTCAAACTGAGCTCTGGGTTGACTATACTGACAAAAGGGTTAATCATAATTTAATGTGCAATTAAAAAAAAACAGCAGGCTAAATCAGTGCAGGCAAATTAATGCAACCCCCTTCCTCCTGAAGCTTTTGTGAAATAATTCCTAGAAAAGAATAAAGTAAAAAGAAAGACAACTCCTCCTTGAAGCAATGACATGCAAAAATATTTGTAAGGCATTTGACCCCAAATGGGCCTCCTCCTGCCGCACCCCATCTTTGGAATTCATTGCCCAAGAAGTTCAGCTAGTCTAGTGTTTCTCAACCTTCGCAATTTTAAGATGTGTGGACTTCAACTCCCAGAATTCCCCAGCAAGCAACTCTGGGCTGCAAAAATTGCATCAGTACCACGTGTAGATTGGAATCCAGAGATGCTCATGGTCACTTATCATTCTCTTCCCCAGTGAGAGAAACTGGAAAGGGATGAAGTGTGTTGACCTAAGTGGCGGACCATAGACTGGAGAAAGCTGGCATAAAAAATGAATGCATTTCATTGCCCAGTTTGCAATGACAAACACAGAATATCAAAAGCATGACATGCCTGAGTTAAAAGCTGCCATGTTTTTCAGTCAAGATTGCTTCAGGCTTGAGAAAGAAAAGAACACACTAAGATTTACAAGAGAACTGGCAAATCGGTGTTTTCCACAGAAATCAGGATCTCAGATGCAGCATAAGATACAGAGAGCCAGCTCATTTAAAAAACAAACAAACTTCAAGACATTCATATATTTGTATTTTGCTCTGCTTTAAAATGAAAGCCCCATATCTGAACATCTTGAAAACTATGGAAATTTCGCTGCCAGAAAACACCAGCTGACGTGTGCTAAGAAATGCATTTTAAAACACATTCCCATCCTTTCTGCAGAATCAAACTTCTGTTTCTACAGACTGCCTTCCAAAAAACTACTCTATTCTTCAGCCAAATGATTTTGCCTACTCTAATATGCTATGTGGAACATAAGTGTTCCAATTAAAGACATGGAAGAGGTGAGGATTTTCACTTTGCTGCAACATATTATTATTAACTGTTCGTTAGATTTATAGCTCACCTTTCCTCCTGGTAAACTGTAACTAAATAACTTGGAAGATATAAAACAAATTTATTAAGCATGAAAATAACTACAGTATACAGGTAGTTCTTGACTTATGATTACAATTGGGACCGGAATTTCCGTCGCTAAGCAATGCAGTTGTAAAGTGCAACCACATCGCTTAGCAACAGCAATCCCTGTTGTCCTAGTTGCCATTGTTAACTGAATCCCACGGTTGTTAGGTGAGGCAACTTCCTACCGCCTTCCCACAACCAAAATCACTGGGGAAGCCAGCAGGAAGTTACAAGCCCCAGGCCCACAGGCAGGTAGGTGGCTGCTGCCAGGTGGGGGAAGGCATGGGGGGGGCATGGGGGGGCAGGGGAAGGTGCATGAGAGGCATGGCATGGGTGTGCAAGGGTGCAAGGAAAGGTCGGGGAGGGTCCATGAGGATTTGAGGGAGGGTATGAGAGGTGCCACACAGTTCGGCGAGGATGCATGAGGGTGCATGAAAGGTGCCATGCAGGTTGGGGAGGGTGCACAAGGGTGCAAAGGGGTGCGTGAGAGGTGCAGCATGGAACAGGGAGAGTGTGCAGGGGTGCAGTGTGGGGGCGCAGCATGGGTCAGGGAGAGTACATGAGTGGTGCACAAGGGAGGTGCAGCGAGGGTTGGGGAGGGTATGCAGGGGTTCATGAATGGCCGGTGTGAGCACCGAGGGACTGGGGCAGGGTGCGCAGGCGGGGGAGACTTACTCCAGTGATTTGTGACCTTCACTGTCGGCTTTCCCATTGGCTTTCTGGGGAAGCCAACAGGGAAGGTTGCAAATGGCAATCACATGATCGTAGGGTGCTTGGCAACTGTTTGTAAGTGTGAACAGGTTGCCAAGGACCCAGATCATGATCACATGACCACGGGGGTGCTCAGACAGCTGGAACTCTGAGGACTGGTTCTAACCACCATTCGTTCAGTGACATTGCAGCTTCGAACAGTCGCTGAACAAATGGTCATAGATCGAGGACTACCTGTATACCAAGCTCCCAGCAAAGCATTGGCAACTTGCTGAGCAGCCCTGAAGAAAAGCAGAACTGCAGCTTACATATATACCTTTGGCCTACTACATTATAAAGGCAAGACTAAAAAAAGCAACATCCCACGGTCACGTGATTGCCATTTGTGTGCTTTGCAACTGGCTTGTGACAAGCAGCGTTAACAGCGAATTTGTTTCATTCTGTTTTTGTTCTTTCAAATTTGCTGGTCATTGACTGACTAAATGTAATCAATCAATCAAGAGACGGTGGAAGTAAAATTGTAAGTCGCGGTCCTGGGATGTTTCGCTTAATGCCCCACAGTGATTCACTTAACGACTGAAGGGGAAGTGAGGCTGTAAGACCAATGTGGTCACATGATGTTTTGCTTAGCCACCGTGGCACGTAAGCAATAGAATTACTGGTCCCAATTGTGGTTGCTAAGTGAGAACTATCTGTACAATCCATGATTGAAGTACAGACTTTCAGTTTCACAGCGTCACTGAAAAAGAAGATGTCCACACGCTCCTAGATTTGTGGGGTTATTTCTACCTCTGGTTCCTCCGAATGGATAGCTGTTTTTCCCCTTTTACAATTCTATTTATCGCTATAGATCTATTTACTGCTATGAATGCTATCTAATCACTTGTCAAATGAAGTAGTGCTGTTGTTGATTTTAATTCCCCTCTCTCAAAATTTCCAAATCTTTTGTGCGCAATGGAGGATGTGTCTTAAAATCCACTCCAGGTTGTGACAATCTCAGAGGTCCTGTTTATTTTTTTTTTAATTACAGAAGAAAGAAAAATACCACTCAATGCACATTAAACTACCAATCCTTTTGAGAGAGAACTTACACAAAAAAGGACATCAGTTGGACGAGAGTCTCTTTTTTAGGGTTGGCAATAAATTCTGGCAGAGTCTGGATTACTTTGTTCATCACATTTCTTAAGTAGTTCTGCAACTGTTTCCGTCGTTCCTCTACAAACTTTGCATCCTGAGGGAAGGGAGGGGAGAAGAAAAAGCAGAATTTCATCACTGAATTCACAGTGCTTGGCAAGTTAAATCATAGCATAAACACATGCACCCTTGCACAAGCAAAAAGGGTCAAGTGAGGACAAAGTGTCAATCACAGGCATAGGCAGCCTACAGAAGTCCAGATGTTCTGAACTGCAACTCCCAGCATCCCTCATCATTGGCCGTTGGGAGTTGTAGTTCAACAACAGCTGGAGTGTCATGGGTATTCTAGTCACATGTTACCAGATAAGAAACAGATTCACAACTCGATGGTATGCAAAAACATTCCAAATTTGAAACATTTCAAGCCCAAAGCACTGCTTTGGGTTAGAAACAGCTGTTCTAATCTCCCTGGAAATGTTCTGCTGAGCCTGGAACTCTTTCAGACCAGTTGAAACAACATTGGGACTCTTCCACTGTGGTTTAAACCAGCTGTCCTGGGCTTGAACCACCTGTTTGGACTAATGTGGAGTGCTCAGAACATTTTGGATTCAAAACATTTTGGATAAGTTTACCAGAATCCCATGACAAGATATTACCCAATAGCTCTAGTTATGCATTCTGTAGGACCCAGCTGCTGACCAGATGTGCTCAGAAGCATGGGCGAGGGGGTGTTCCCCTAATTCCATGGCTAGGAGATGAGGATCCATTGATAACCGAGATCTTTTGAGAGACTTGGCTAGTACCCTTTGAAAGCAGTCTAAATTGATCACCACCACCAGTTCAGAGAGCAGCAACTCCCACAGTTAAACTGCATGTTGTGCACTGAGTAATGACCTGGGTAAGGTGTAATGAATCTAAGCATTTATAGGAGAAAAATGCAGCACAGCAAGGTACAAGAACACTGAACAAAACACAGCTGATTTGGAAAAGCTTCTCTGGGGGAAGCCCTTTTCTTTTCCTTATCCTTCAAAATCAGTTTCACATCCTCCCCCCCCTTTTTTTAATATGAAGCACAATATCCAGCCAAGGGCTACACTTAAATTGGTACAAACTAGGGCACCGCCACTAATATGAGTCTCTTCCAATTCAGCTCCTAAGGTCTCCGCTTGTCAGCGTATTCAAAACAAGAAATCTCTGGAAAGAAGCCCAGGATGGAAAAAGTGCTGGTACCAGCTTACGGACGTTTAACAATTTGCAGACTTACTACATGCCTGCAACAGCTCTCTGCAGACAGCTGTGGGGATGACCTTGGAGAAGCTAGCCAGAGGCAGTGACGGCTACGTAAACAGAGGCAGGCTTTAAACCTGGGCAACAGCAGAAGCTCACGTTGACTCCTCCCCAGTTCACTATGGCAGTGTTTCTCCATCTCAGCAACTTTCAGATGTGTGGACTTCAACTCCCAGAATTCCCTGCTACTCTACTTCGTTTTTTATCTGTATTCTGCAATGTATTCTTTGTATTCTATAATAACATTTGGAAAAAAAAGAACTCCTCCTTCAAGTGGAAGGGAGAAATGGTTTTAGGAACCCAGGGAATGCTCATTCCTTTTAACAAACTGGTGTCGCTGCAGATTTAGCATTACATGCAAAACTGGCATGCAAATGTTACAGATTGATATGAGTTTAGCATGAAGATACGAAGAATCTGACTCAGCCCAGCTATTCTTTTTTCCCCATCCTGCAGTGCCTAAGAATAAGGATGAGCCATTATAGTAGCCCTTAATTTTTTATAGTTATCCCTCGGAAAGCCTCCTTAGAACTTTTTTACACTGAAAAAGACTTAATTCCACAACCCAATGGTTTTGTCAGAAAAAGAGGAAACACTGGGACATCCCAACCAAATCCTAATATTATTCTGAAACTTGGCCCTGAATTAAGATTCCGCCCTAAGATTCTTTCAGACCAATCTTCACTGTCTAGAAGCCATCTAGATGTTCTCTTCCTTCAACTACAGAATGCAAGGTGGTGGTGCCTGCTTAGAGTTTAAAAGCCACATCACCAGGCAACACAGTCCAAAACAGACAAACAGAGGAATTCCCATTCATTCAACTGTTGACTGCAACATATTCCATACCAGCCACAAATTATCCCAGGTGTGGAAAGCAGGAGCAATCCGTTTCCATAGCTAATGAAAATAACATTCAGGTCAATGATGTCATCTTTCACTTGCACACTGGTTGGATATTCTTCAAAAGATCTGGAGGGCATCAGGTTGGGGAAGACTGATATAAATAAAACAGGCTCCATTATCACCAGAAACTCTATACAACAGAGTCCACGTCACCCTAGATCCCTGCCCCATTTTGCACCCCTTTTCAGTGCCTATCCATCATGTATGCAAGCCTTCTCCTTCTACTGCAACAGAACTCTTGTATGAAAAACTATGGACAAGTTGATCAGTGCAGGACATTAGAAGGTATGTCTTTTGTGAAAATAAAAGTTCTATTAAATCAAATCTTTCAAATCTCTGAAGCAGGGCATACTTATCAGTCTCCTACGTCCCCTTTTTCATTAGAATATTTTGTGTACGTTTGTGTATCCATGCATGCATAAATATAAAGCTGCAACATATACTACTCAGGCATATATCTAAGTACATATTTCAACAGGAACAGACTCTATTTCTAAAGTATGAAGCAACAAATTGGTAATTGCTCTAAAGAGGCCAATAAGTATTGGTAGACAATATTGCACAAACACGTACAGGTTTTTCTTACTGTCAGCTTAAAAACTCCCCAAGGAGATAGGCTGTTCATTGAACAGGAAACCTTTATAGGCCTACTTAATGATCTTGCAAGAAATCGCTATTTGGGGAGCTTTAAGTACATTGATCAAAATATTAACAGGAAAAGTGACAGAGCAGATCTCAGTTTTAGAAAGCAATAGCTTTGGTTTGGTACAATATAGAAACAGGCACTAATTTTCAATGGATGAAATGTCTTTTGGGAAGAGTGTTCCATTTAAAGGGGGCCACCATCAAAAAGTCTCTTTCACTGCTGCCTGTTGGTTGGTTTTTCTGAGAGGAGGCAGATGCTGGAAAAATAATGGCTTTCTCACTAGGCTTTTTTTTTTCTTTTTTCTTTTGGCTCTTGTTTAGATCTTCAAATGGGAATCAAACTTTCACCAGCCCCAGAAGTGTTAGCAAATTACACTTGGTCTTCGACAAGTGCTAGTGCTGAACAGCTAGAGTGGAGACGTTTGGTGGTGCTTCTAAAGGCAACTCAGGAATAAGTATGCCAGACTGTCACTTCTGCAACAGAGGTCCATGATTCTTTGAAATGTTAAAAATACAGATGCCAGGTGATTATTCGGCAATTCTAACTGAAGCTCCTAGGGTAGAGGAAGACAGTGGTGGGGCCCATCAACCCCAATTTCCATCTAGACACCATTCTTCCCACTCTTCAGGCTCCCTACCATGCCAAGCCTTGACTTTTTTTTTTCAAAATTCTTTTAATGAAAACAAAATAAAGAAGAATTTGACATGCTGCAAAGTACCAGGCTCCAGACCATTATTATTTTAACGAACCCCTCTAGGGAACAGCAGGAAACAATCAACAGTTGGCTTTTATGACTTACTGCAATTCTCCTTGCCTTTCAATCATCTCCCCCAAAATAGTCATGGCAATCATTCTGTGAAGGAGCATGACTTCCTCAGCAGTCATTTTGTAATGGCTTGCAGTTACAGGTCAACCTACTAGCCCAAAAGGTAGCCTATTCTTTTTTAGAAGGCAAGACTGACTTCCAAAGTCATGGTCAGCTATAGAACGGGGACAAGCCGAGACCCACCTAACCAGCCAATCCTGTCTCCAGGTCTCTCTTGCTTCTCCTCCGCCATAATACTCCCTGCCTATGGAGCACTATTCAATATCTGTTTGGGGTCTCCCTTTAGAGATTTGTGTGGATGGGGCCCACAAGAAGACAAGCAACAAGGCTACAGATGGTCAACTTTGGGGCTATAGGGAAGGGTTTGGGGGCCACTGGGGAACACAGCAGATGCAGGTATGCTACATGCTAGATGGGAGTTGGATTTTCTGTAGTCTTCGGTTTGGGGGAAGGTGGGGTAATTCTGAGGTTTTCCTTGGTCTAAAATGGTGCTCAACCTCTCTCAAGCCTTTGCTACAGTCATGCTTCCTGTTTCAAACTGGCAGGGAAGTTGAAATATGGCAGGACAAATGATATGTTTATCCAGAGGTTGTCAAAATGGGCTTTGCAATTTGCATGTGGTGCAGAATATCCATCCCCAGACTAAGGAGTAATGGTACTATGAAGAAAAAACAAGGAAACTCTTTTACCTAAAGTTCCTGCAAAACCTGGATTCACCCACAGATCACCTAAAACAGTGCTTTCCAAACTTGGCAACTTCCAGGTGCATGGAATTCAACTTCCAAGTCTCAGCAATGTCCATGCTGGCTATGGAATACTGGGATTTGAAGCCCACCCATCTGGAAATTGCTACAGTTGGGAGACAGTGAGCTAGAACATCTCCATTCTCCCTAAGAGCTGACGCTCCTTTTGAGTAAAGTAGGAAAATCCACTCATAGGCAGAGCAGACAGCTTTGAATGGTTTGGCCAGCAAGGCAGCAGAAAACACAAGGTACATCAAGTTTCCTTGGTCTTCTAGAAAAGTCACAGAATTACACAGGAATTCCCCACTCGACAATGTTTTGTTAGTTTGGAGTCTCAAAATTATTTTGGTTTGTCCTTTGCAAACAGCCTTCTTTGTTTTCACCTTCTCAGGTAACCACAAGGAATGGACCAACCCAATGTTCTCTCAAGTCTTTTTTAGCAAGGCTATAAATATCTTGCCCAATGGGCTCCCCGGCCTGCCTGCCTGCCTGCCTGCCTTTTTTTTGTTCAAGCTTCGACCTGAAATCTATACTCTTCCCTGGGGATTTTGCGTGTCCTTGGAAAAAGCAAGGGAAAGTCCAGGGGCACCAAATTAGATGGGGTATATTGGCAGAGGAGGAGAAAAATTAAGCATGGGGTTTCTCTTCTGCATCTTCTCACACACACAGCTTAAATCTTCATGCCTTTTGGG